ATTGTGTTTCGCCGTCCGGGTGGTCTATTCTCTTAAATAAACGTTTATATAGGTTAGAACTTATATGATTTTTGAATTATTTGAATGATTGTTTGTGAGTTATCGTTTGTTTAATTTAAAGACTAGGGGCACCTCATCAACAAATTGGTTCAAAAGTACTCATATTGCGCACAGAGAAGCTCCTGATTCCTTTGGGGATTTTTAATGTGCGAAATTATACTCATCAAAGCAAACTTTCGTATTTTGATCTCGAAAAATACCAATGTTGATGCACTGCCCGTTATTCTCCAGGCCCTACAAGAAAGTTGGCAGTTTGCTTGAAAAATGTGCTTGAGTGGGCTCTCTAATGTATGGTAGAGTAAAACCAATAATGTTTGCCAAAGGATTTGTTTTTTTTTTCTTGCTTGTCAGAAGGTCAGTGCCAGGTTATACAACAAAGTTCTACTTTGCTTTCTTTTCTTCTGACGCCGGGTTCCCTTTGTTAGAATGCTACCAACTTTTTTCCGCTTTATGGAGAACTCTTAACTTTTGCACGTACTGCTGTAGATATTATAATGGGGGAGTCTTGTACGTGCTACCTATTTCGGTGGGATATACTCCCAGCAATTACTCATGAGTCCAACACTATGTTTTTGCACAACATGAGTGACTTTGTGCAGACTCAGACTCTGCGCATGATTCAGATTTGTTCACGATTACCTATGACTAAGGATTCCCGACGGAATGCGAAACGTCAGGACAGTAAAACTCTTGTTCCAGTGATCGCTTCTTCTTCGGATGAGTGACTTTCTCGGTTTAAGTTCAGTTCAGTTTTATTAAGAGAAAGTTGGGCGAGCGTCATTTAACTCCTCGTTATTGACAAAGTAGTTAAGAAAAAGCACCAATACGTAAGGAATTTTTTTAAAAAGAGCCTTGTGTGGTGCAGCATTTGGGACTGGGTATGACTGGCTGACGATGACTAACAAGTCACAATGGTCATTCCAGTCTCCCCTGTCTTTTAATTCACCCAACTGTAAAACATTTGTGGTCTCGGTGGGATTCGAACTCACATCACCACGAAAGACCTTAGTACAGCGAACGTTCTACTAATTGGGTTACGGAGGCACGCCGAAAGCCTTGAATTTAGTCACAATTGGCCTACTGCACGTATGGAATTCACCAATATAGATATTGTAAACTAACTGCCCAGGCAAGATTTCCTAAGCAATCATCTACAATCCACCAGAATGACAACTAGGCTCATTTAATTAGTAGAAGGGTTTGGCAGATTTAAATAATTCAACTGACCCAATTTGGAAAGATTCGGGGCTTCGGTGGGACTCGAACCCTCCTCTTTGTCGGTAATACTATCTGCCTAGGACTACTAGCCGCTAGAGCTGCCGTCAGAGCCCGAGAAATGAGGTTGAAGACAGAACGAGGCAAGTAAGTTCCGTTAGCGGTCGGTGAGCGTTTATCAACAAGTGTTATTATTTACATAATTGCATGCGAAAAGCAAGTAGCCGTCTGTTAGTCTGAAAGACTACACATAAATGTCTACTTTCTTATAGCGAGTAGTATACCTACTCGTAATCATGTTGCCGGTTATTTTGGATGCTCCCGAAAATGGTTGCATACGATGGCTCCTGTGCAGCTTTTCCGGTGGCTTGGTAGCTGATGTCTCCTCCCGACCATTCCTACCGGCTAGCGTCCGTCGACTAGCTGGCGAACATGAGACCGAATAAACGAAAGACCGAGTGCACGGACTGTCCGAATAACTATGGAGATTCAAATTGCAGCATGATTCCCTAGAGTCTATCGCGGTTTACTGTCGGATCTATTAAGGTAAAATAGAGGCTGATCCTTCTTTCTAGCACATTTCCTGCAATTGGCGGACTGTGGGGACCATGAAAACGATGCCGCGGTATTTTTGGAATTCTCCCAGCGTTCCTGGTGCAAGTTTTCAATGCAGATATTGTGTTCAGGCGATTGAGTAGGGCACAACCGGTGGTTCTCTGCAAGAATAATAAACGCCTGATCACTGCAAGATTAGGTATATCAGCTCGGACCTGTACAAAATCCCATCATCAGTTCTGTGTGAGTGCAACCAACAATGGACCACTTTGATAGTCAAGCAATGAGGAGAGGGGAAAGTGGGAAGCAGATAGTGCTTGTGACTGGGCTGGGTTCACGCAACCTAACTCCCAGTGGTTTCACGGTGTGTTTACGCTGTATGCCCTTGGTCCGGTTGGTTGTTCACGTCCCCTTGCCGTGTGGGTGTGGCGTATGGAAGCGGGGGGTAAATCAACGCGTCTGTTGATGAAGTTGGTATCGGACAATACGGAGAAAAAAGATGTCTCTGTGCTCCGTTGCCGTTCCCCTTGCTTTTGTAAATGGGCACAATGGGGATATACTTGACTTCTTTTGGGATCTGCCCTTGTAGCCACGTCTCCTGGAACAGTTAGACAATATTTGTATGTATTGTGAGTCACCGTACTTGTAGTCTTCGAATAGAATGGTATCGGTTCCCAGACTTCTTCTAATGGCGAATTGTTGACTGCTCAGATTTTCTCAAGCAGTTGAAGTAGCTGGGGAAAGCG